CTGTTTTGGCATCTAGGACACCATTGCCGGCAGCAACTATAGACCATAGCCAAAGAAATTGTGAAGTTCGGGGCTTGCTGACCGTGGAGTCGCAGAAATGAAGAAATCCTTCAAGTTATTTGAAGATAGAATTACATTGCTGAGGGACCCCGAGGTTTCGGGCGCGGTGTGCGAGCTCTTTGGGAAGTAGGAGCGATGCTATCAGCACCAACGGCTGCGAGTGTTAAAGACGCTTCCGCTGGGACTGAACAGCCAGCACTGTCGAGCAAGGGGAGACACCTCCAGGGAACTTCAACCTGGCAGGTTTAATTTCAAATTGAAACCTCGAGCAGAGGAGCGTTATTCTATGCCCAGGAACTCGTATTAGACGTACTAACGAGTCATTTCTGGTATCCCAGTCTGAAAAGCAGGAGAGAGAAGGAAGGGAGACCGGGTACCTTGCTGAACCGCTCCTGACTTGGAATGCTGCTCCTGGGAGGGGTGCTTGACCAACCCTAATTCCCGAAGAACTGTCATTCTTGGACCTTCGACTGTTTTTCCCTTTGTCCTTGTATGATGTTGCAGTTTCCTCCTCATGAAGAAGCTGCAGAAGTCTCCAAAGGTGGGATTACAGGAGTTGCTGAACAAGTTAGAACTGGAGACGGATAGGCACAGCTCAGGCAGGATCCGAGCTCACTGCTCACAGGAATGGCTTTTTCTCCAAAGGAGGGGAATGTTCTTTGAGTGCCAGTAATACTGTCGGTCACCTGATGGCCTTGGTTCTGGGTTCATGCTGTTGTACAGCGTGGCACAGGGACACATACGAGAAGCCACCAACGCATGAGATGTCCTTTTATTTTAGTTGATTCAAGAGTTGCACAGGTTTTATCTTCTGGTTGAACGCTGAATCGGAACATGGACAGTATCTTTCTTTTTTCTCTTTCATAGCCATTATATTTTTCTGCCTTTCTAGTACTAGGTCTGACCGTTCTTATGTAGATCTTTATTCTTTATTTTTTTTGAATAGGGTTTCACTCTGTCACCCAGGCTGGAATGCATGTGGTGCAAATACAGCTCACTGCGCCTTGAACTCCGTGGGGCTCAAGGGATCCTCCTGCTTTAGCCTGCAAGCAGCTGGACTACAGACGTGTGCCACACACCCAGCTATTTTTGTTTTTCAGTAGAGATGTGGTCTTGCTATGCTCTTGCTCAGCTATTCTCGAACTCCTGCCTAAAGCAATCTCCACTTCGGCCTCCTAAAGTGCTAGGATTACAGGCGCAAGCCACTGCACTGGCTGGCCCTGGCTTAATATACTTGTTAGCAAGGGTATGCCATAGAAAGGAAAGCTATATCATGTTGACTATTTGACAAACTTTACCTGACTTGACTTGTTTACTTGTCTCTTTCCTAATATAAGTAGCTCTGACTGTCATTTATTTCCCCATTTCAAGTCTCTCCTTTCTATTCTGCGGAGTTTTAGCTGTTTTGAGATTATGGACCATCAATTTTTCATTTAGAGAGTGAAATTCTGACTCGGGGCATCCTCTGTTTTATCAGAATTTTGGGTTTCTTTTCTTAGCTGGAAGAATGACCATCTGCCAACTTTATACAGTAATCACCGGTATTTGACCCGCAGAATAAAACACATCATTGGTGCAAACTGTTGACTCAGCAAGACTAACAAAAAGACAAGAAAGTCCTGAGGAGTTAGTAACTGCTGTGTCTGGAGATCGGTGTTTCACCTTCCAAGACATGTAGCCTCCGCCAGGTCCTGACTGGCACGTGGAGGCTACTCTGTGACTGAGGGATTTCCAAACCAGCCTCACATTCTTCAGCAAACTCCTGTGGGCTGGTGTTGTTTAGTATCTGCCAGGAAAGCGGTCCTCAAGATGGAGAAGCTACGTTATTTTATGATAGTGCACTTTCTCTTGATCTGCTTCTTTTCTTGATCTTCTTCTATCACTGCTTACCTTGGCTTTTTTTTTTTTTGTAGCCCATACTTATGATGCTCTCCATTGTTGATTACATACATCATTTTATTAAAATCCAAAGATAACAAGTCTTTAGGTATATTTTCTTTTTTCTTTACTTTTTTTTTTTTTTTTTTTGAGACAAGTCTCACTCTGTTGCCTGGGTTGAGTGCTGTGGCATCAGCCTAGCTCACAGCAACCTCAAACTCCTGGGCTAAAGCGATCCTCCTGGCTCAGCCTCTCAAGTAGCTGGGACTACAGGCCTGTTGCCACCATGCCCGCTAATTTTTTCTATTTTTTAGTAGAGACGGGATCTCGCTCTTGTTCAGACTGGTCTTGAACTCCTGGGCTCAAACTATCCACCCGCCTCGGCCTCCCAGAGTGCTAGGATTACAGGTGTGAGCCACCACGCCTGGCCTTTTAGGTATATTTTCTACCAAATTAAATTAGAAGACAAAATTGTGCTCTCATAGTTGCTCCAAAGATTAATAATTAAAAAATGTTTTAGCCTTTAGGCTACAGACTCCCGCCTGCCGCCATGGCAGAGTTGGGCCTAAATAGCACCATCAAAATGAAGTTATTAATTATATGCGATTTGCTTGTTCAAAGAGGGGCTTGAGACTCAAAACTGTAGATTCCTGCTTCCAAGACCTCAAGGAGAGCAGGCTGGTGGAGGAGACCTTCACCATAGATGAAGTCTCTGAAGTCCTGAGTGGCTTACAGGCTGTGGTTCACAGTGAGGTGGAGTCTGAGCTCATCAATACTGCCTACACCAATGTGTCACTTCTGCGGCAGCTGTTTTCACAAGCTGAAAAGTGGTACCTTAAACTGCAGACAGACATCTCTGAACTCGAAAACAGAGAATTATTAGAACAAATTGCAGAATTTGAAAAAGCAGAATTCACATCTTCAAATAAAAAGCCTGTCATAGAGACCATAAAAGCCCCAACTTGTTCCACTTAATGAAGGTGGAACAACAGAACTCCTAAACAAGGAAATGTCAAGACTTCAAGAAGAGAATGAGAAGTTAAAGTCAAGGCTGAAGACCATAGAATCACAGGCTACAAATGCACTGGATGAGAAATCAAAACTAGAAAGAGCACTGCAAGATTTATAGCTCGATCAAGGAAATCAAAAGGATTTTATAAAGGCCCAAGACTTGAGTGACTTGGAAAACACAGTTGCTGCTTTAAAGAGTGAGTTTCAGAAGACACTTGATGACAAGACAGAAAACCAGAAGTCACTGGAGGAGAATCTGGCAACAGCCAAGCATGATCTACTCAGGGTTCAGGAGCAGCTGAGAATGGCCGAAAAGGAATTAGAGAAGAAATTTCAACAAACAGCTGCTTCTCGAAACATGAAAGAAATTCTTACCAAGAAGAATGACCAAATCAAAGACCTACGGAAAAGACTGGCAAAATATGAACCTGAAGATTAAAAACTGAAGATGTCATCTCAAAGCTGCCACAATATGAACATATAAGCTCTCTCACCTCAGGCATGTATTTTGAAGCATTTTGTCATATTTCCTCTCCGTATTTTTCTAATATTTGGATTTTGCTTCTAATATTTAGCACTAGAGTTCTTACTTTCAGTTGTCTAATTGAGAATAGAGAAAACCCCGTGATTCTGGCCGGTAGTCCCACACACCTGTCTGCCGAGTGCTCCAGAGTCTTAGTTTGCATGCAGTGAGGATTCTTCACAATAAAGAAGAGATTTTAAGAGTGGGAAGAAGGGTATTATCCTTTTGCATTAGTATAAGAGTATATCTTTTTAACAAATGTTAAAGAAGCTAATAATGTCTGTATTTGTGTATTCCCCAAGGGTAAAAATAAAAACAGTGTTAATTAAAGATAATTAAAAATCTTTTTGACTTTTAAGATTGAAAATCTTAATTCAATGTTACCTATTTGAGATACAAAAAAAGTCAATGAATTCATTGGAAATCGTGGAACATATACTGGGCAGCCATATTTACTCAATTATAAAGGGAAAATAACCAGCAGGTGAACCTAGGATTCAGTTAACTTCTTAAATGTGAATCCCATCCAGAGGAGGTTCAGACATTTTTGGCAGCATGACTTATGAGTGTGTATTGCTGATGGAGAAGCTCACGATCCCATCGCGGTATACTTCTGCGAGTTTAGAAAGAGTACTGGTAGGTATGCCGTCTCAGAATAAAATGGTGCTTGTGATTGTTGTTTCCAGAAATATCTTTTAAATTACGACATTAGTCTCTCCG